CTTTACAGATGAAGGCAAAGAAACTTAATTTAAAGAACAAATATATATTCATTTGTGTGTGTGCATACATGTCTGTGGCTACCATGTATTGTCTTGGCTATCATACATTATCTAAGTTCGTCCTCACAATAACCATGTAAAAATTAAGTTAAATGCCATAGGCCCCATCATACAGGTCAGAAAACTGAAACTAACTTATTCCGTTACTAAGTGGCAGCGTCTGCATTGGAATCTGAGGTCATGAATAAGCCCAAGGCCACTGTTTTCCAGGTCCTCACTCTGCAGTCATAGCACAGACGCCATCATTCCTAAGTCCCCACAGTGAGAAGGCCTTTCATACAGGAAGTGTGTCTCCCTTGCTCCAGAACTGTATCCCTGACCAGACAGCAGTGACTGCAATCATGCCAGAAAAATCCATCACCGCAGTGCACGCCTACACGATCAGGTGCTGTGTCCCAAGGGGCCCTCCCTGTATAAATACAAACACGTTCTTGGGAAGGGAACACGGGTCCTGATCTGCACTCCAACTCGTCTTAGGTCCATTTCTTTTCAAGCAAGGAGGATAACTCACAGAGAATTTTAATGGAGGGAGGAGTCAGGGGAGGGAGATGCTTGAGAGAAGCACCGAGCAAGAGGCTTGGGTAGAAGTTGCAGAAGGGACCCCAGGGCAAGCAGAGCATCAAGTGGGATGGAGAATTGTGGGACTAAGGACAAGTTTCCGTCCACTATGATTTGCTTTGCTTTGTTTTTTCTATTTGTACACTTCAGTGCCTAAGACTCTCTGTCCATTTTCCTTAATACTTGTAGCATTTTTTGAGCTAAAAGTGACCTCAGGGAACATCAAGTTATATTCCAAGCCATTCATTTCCAGACTGAAAAACTGGCCACATGACTTGCCCAAAGCCATACTTTGTTAGCTGAGGCTCCAGGAGGGTGTGTGGCAGGTCGTGGGAGAGTAAGGCAAGTAGACTAAAATTGAAACGCCAAGAATTTTTGCCTAGTGATGACGTGATGGAGGAAAGACCCAGAAACCCAAGTTGTTGAAATAAGTGGCTTGATAGGTGAGAATTTAGCTTCTGTAGTGAAAATATCCCAGAAATCTTTCACGGATTTAATCTTTTCTTTAGCAGAAAGATTCATGAGCTGGCAGGGTCTGTCTACTTAGCAATTGATAGCAAAATAAGTAAAGACACTTGCCGTCTGTGAGATCCTTGATTGCATTGTTGATCTGGCCTTTCGTTTCTTCCAATTTTTCCTTGAAGTCAACTGTTTCCATTTCTTTTGCATAAGGTCTCTTGGTAGAGCTGATGAA